TGCCAAGGCTTAAAGCAGCAACAACGCTACACATAAAAACTGATGATGGTGGAAAAATACACCGAAACGTATTTTGATTGATAAATAGAGACAATAAATGACTGAAACCCAGGAATGAATTTGATATAAGTTTACTGCCGATGTGTTTACAATCAAAAAAGTTAAAAATATCAGTGTGACTAACAAATAAAATTACTGAGCACGTTCCTGTTTTCTTTTGCCAAAAAGCTGCACAAGAGGCTCGCACTAGCGAAACGTGAGTATTGAAACATTTCATTAAAAATGTCCATTTTTAACTACAGCTCAAATCACAAGCACTGCCAAGGCCAGAGCGCCAAGATTAGAAAATTACATTTTAATTGCCCGATAAACTGATAAAAAGATTATCGGCCGATAAATAAGAAAAATTGTTTGCTTTACTTAAGGAAAATCAACGGCTAGGTACCTTAAAGCTGCTATGAACCAGGGTCTCATCCAGATCAATCACCATGCACTTCTTCTGCATGTCCTGATGCCTTGCAGGAGGCAGCAGGAAGGAAACCCGATCGCTGTTCGTGTATTGGGAACCATCGACGCATTGTTCCGGGGTTTGGGTTTTGTTTTTTCGCTTACCGAGGCAGCATAGCAAGGACCGCAGGAAGCCCCGCGTACTTTTCTTTTGTGCTTGTGGTGGCTGATAATCAGGCGTTGGAGAGGCATTTTCATTGATTGGAAGGTTACCTAAAAATACAAGTCTTAATGATTTAACACATCGGGCAGCTTTTCCATTCCAATTCCATTCGACGACTTCATCAAAGTTAAAACGACGAAGTTTGATACTCTGACCGGGCATTTACATTGATGTTCAATTCCTTCCAATGATGGTGTTTAATTTAATAACTGCTTGCTTCGACATTAATTCAATTGCCCTTACTTTGCACGCAAAGGCTAAGCAGTAGTGACCAGAAACTTTTCTAAGATTCTCTTTGTATTGCGTTTTTTGCCCGATTTCTTTGGCATTTCAAGACAAGGTGAAATTCAAATGGAAAATTCCCTTAGAATATAATGGTTCCAAAAATTTCACTGGAAAACAGGAAATGTTTGAGGGAAACTCGGTGTCACATCTGACATTTCAATAATCTAACCACCAAAGACTTTGGGTTGATGGTCAAGAGTGAGTTTCATTTAGTGACAAGCATTTGATAATGGGATTTAGATAAAACTGGGATGTTAAATCCAATACTCGAGAGTTAATTATACAGGAATGCGAGTTGATGAATGAAAATTGGCCTATGACCCAGTTAAAGCCATAATCTAGAAACCATCAGGTAAATGTTATGAATCTCAAGGTTAGCAAGTGGTATACGCCGACCTTATATTCCTACCTAGCAAGAAGCAAATACACACAAGATCGGATTGTTGTTTTTGGGAAATACTGTCACTTTTTTGCCAAAATTGACCTAAATGCGTCTCGAAAATCCCGTCTGGACGTCCAGCTGCCACCTGCACGGCGCCAGAGATGGTGAACAGGTGTAAAACTGCACTAGTTTACAATGTGATATGATTATTTACCTTTTTCAGGAGGATAACTGTTCAGTTGTTCGTCCTCTCTCGACACCTGGGCAATGATGGACGATGCGTCCATTTAAACATTTGTTATAATCCCTTGGAAATGTATCACTACTCGTAACTGGATCGCGCAAACAGGCACTGGACCAGACTGGACACTTACGCGACTAAATAAGCGATTCGATTCTGGATCGCGGAAAAAACTGAACACTAAACGGGCCGTAAGTAATGTTTTTCTCCAAACCAAGCCTAGTTTACGCCATATTTGTTAATGTACTGTTGCCAACATTCAGTTTGCAAAATCATCGCAGCTCAGGTTTGTGTGCATACACAAAATGGCACCATTGATTGTCGTTGTCAAACTTTTGAATTATTTTAAGCAAAAGTGCATTTGCTTTAATTATTGGAAACGGCAGAAATATCCGGTAAACTAACCCAAAGGGTAAGTATTGGGCTTTCCCCTTTTTACCTTTTATTCCCTGCCCTGTCGATCATTTCCCTTAAGTAAAAAAACGCCACCAGCACCAAAATCTCGGGTGATGTTTTTTGTCGGTTGCGGACTACCAAAAGTCGTGTTCTAGGAACTACCAAATGTTTCGTTTTTTTTTTATGTTTTACCTTAAAGAACGCTTAAAAATGTTGGATGGTCCATAATTTAAAAAAACACTTGATTCGGTTTCTCAAAACCATTTATTTATGCGCGAAAATGCGATTGTCCGCTGCTCTTTGCTGCTAAATCGTGTTTTAGGTATCAACGGTTAATCGGTATTTTTTGGCTTCGTTTCTGGACCATCCAAAATTTTCTCGCACTCAAACCGCTTGTTAAATAAAATGTTCTGTAAAGCAAAACAACAAAAAAAATTGTGTCCTCAAACGACAAGTTCACCAAATCCCCACTAACCTTAGCAAATTGATACACATTTACTAAAAAAGCCTTTGAAAATGAAACAAACATTTTCTTTTGGACAAAAAAACTCTCTAATAACCAACTTTGCAACATACCCAAGAACGTCAAAGTTGGTCAAAGTGATACGATGGTGATACGTAACCTAAAAACTCAATCTTTCATGATCCCCCTTCAAAGCAATCATGTTTAAGAAACCTGTGCGAATAAAGAGCAACAACCAAGTGAAGGGGTCGGAAAGAAAGGCAATAAAAGACCTATTTTGCAAAAACTTTTCCAACGTCACCGAGGAGCAGATCAATGCTCTGTTCAACAACAAGAAGGAGGCTCTAAACTGCATAAAACTGACGACTCACTCAAATGAAATCGTTCAGGTTTACACCATCCAGAAGCAACCGCTGTTTTTCAGCGTACAAGGCAAAATGCTGCCCACAGTGTTTTTGTTGTGGAGGCTTCCCAACTTAGTGGCAAGCTTTACAACACATCCACAAGTGATGAGTTTCATTAGTTCGGGCGCTGATTTAATGCTAGCGGGGTTGGTCACACCGCCTCCCCATTCCGGGTTGCCCCGGTACAACAGTCTCCCCCAAAGCAGCCCGGTTTATGTTAATTTATCGAGTAGTAGTGCGGCAGTTGCAGTGGGCCTGACGGCGCTTAGCTCCTATGATATGGAGCGGGCTGGAGGAAGAGGCAAGTGCGTTTTGCTGTATCACTTTTACGGTGACCATTTGTGCTCAGTGGAAGGTAACAGCAATATCCCAATCCCCAAACTGCCGCCTCCTGAGTGGCTCAGCTTGAGTGACTATCAAGCAGATTTTCCTGCTTTGGGCGACAACAGTGCCGATGCTCCCAAACTCTTGGAGGTGAATTCAAACGAAAACCCTCAAGAGGATCCAATTCCAGCAGTCATTGAAGAAGACCCTGATCAGCCTGAGGCCATGGACGAGCTACTGAACTACTGCTTCCTGGCGGCTCTCAAATACTCAAAATCCTTGGCGTTGCCGGTGTTGATATCCAACTTCTTTAAACTGCAAATGTTGCCGATGTGCCCCCCTGGGCCCACATTGGACATAAAGAGAACGTCGCACAAAAAAGTGAAACCCTTCCTGGACGCAATGGCCAAAAGTGGGCTAATCACAATACAAGAAATAAGAAAGGGAGTGGAAGCAGTGACGGATATAAACAAAACCCACCCCAAGTTCAACGAATTTTACATTAAACCGGAAGACCGGCCTAGACTGGACTCTGATGATGCAAAGAGGCAAACAGTGGTGACTGAGTCGTATGCAATCACTCACAACGTTTTGCCAATTTTTCAGCCCGCTGGATACCACAAGGGTGATATCCTTGAAGTTCCAAACATCAGGAAGTGTGTAACGGAGCACGTTAAGCAAAATAATTGCCAAGTCAGCACGAATCCCAAACTAGTTCACCCAACCACAGCAGTATTGAAAACTGTTTGCAAAACGGAAAATCCAGTTTCTTGGGAAGAAGTCTTTGAGAAAGTGTGCGAGTCGATGAAGTCTTGTTTCAAAGTGAGCTCAGGCAATGACTTCAGCCAACTTAATAAGGGAAAAGTCTCCCCCATCTATATGAGTGTTTCGACCAGATCAGGGAATAAAAAAGTGACTTTAGTGGACAATTTGGAAGTTTTCGGAGTCAACATCCAGGAATTTGCCAAAGAGTGCCAGCATGGAGTGGCTGCCAGCACTAGTATCACTCCCACACCTCCAGGCAAGAAATGCGATCAGCTTCTAGTCCAAGGAAACCAAGTGATTTTTATACACAATTTATTAGTGGACAAATACAAGATACCCAAACAGTACATCAGAGGACTAGAGCTGGCGCCTAAAAAGAGAAAATAGCTGTACTTTTATTCAATAAAAAGTTAATATTAAAATTATCTTTTATGCCCCGGCTATTCAGATGAAAATAGACCAAATTCATATTAATAATTATATTCAATTATAATACAACATATTGAACACCTCCTCCAGTGCTCATTTAAATTACATCGGTTTCCACAAAATAGTAAAATATAAACTAAAAATGTACAATAACATAACGCTAATTTACCTTGGAACATTAGTATATTTTAAATTCTGTACAATCACCTCTAATTTTAAAACCTAACTATTAAATTATAGAAATATATTTTTTGCTGAATATAAAATCGAACACTTACAATAAAGAATAATACAAATTTGATAAGGACTGGTAAAGCGACTTGAACCAAATACCAAGATCTGTGCAAATATCAATTTTCATTTGGCATTTTCATACTGACAATGAACGGATAAAGTTGCAATTTTTTTAACACTTTCCTAGATTCAATTTTTAGGTAGATCTAGACCTGCAGGTGCTTGAGGGTCGACTTGGTTTAATAAGCTGAAGTTTTGCTTGGTCACATTGCGTTAGAGAACCATTGAATTACAACAGGTGATGAAAATAAAAGCGCGTCAGTAAACATCTATGTTGTAGCATTGAAAAGCATCAATGTGGCATCTATAGGCTACCCCGATTGCTTAAATACCCACTTATCTCCATTTAGATTGATTTTAATTGTAGATAATAATAGCTTATACTTTGATTCGTTTAACTAATATTGTTAATCACAACTTCAGATAAATAAAATAAAAATGACTCTATTTTTAATATAAAAATTAATTAAAATAACATTTGAGTACACTATATCTTGCAAGTAAACGTGATTGATTAATTTCTTTGTATATGCTATTAAACGCAATTTTGAAAATTATTGTACAAAGAAAAGGTTGCTGCCCAGGATCGGTTTTCTGGAAAATTTTACTAGGTTGCTATTTCTCAATTGCTTGGATAGTCCTTCTAAATTAAATGCCTACGGTGGAATTAATCAAATATGCTTAAGGAAATAATCCAGGACAGCAATCATTACACTGTCAGACATTTCCTTTTGAACCCTACGCAACTCTATTAAAAAAGGCAATGGATATTTTCCATTGAATTAAGAACATTACAATACGAATGTTGGAATTTGAAGATCAAATATTTGACAGTGAATGCTACCTTTTATATTGTTTCATGTTATGAGGATTTCTTACATTCCATGTATCACTAAAATGCGGCTTAAACAGTCCGATCCTCTAATTTGAAATAACACTTCACTCCAATGGACAGGCCATCACTTGCAACAATTAGCACCAGTCTTTGGTTCCGTATTACCCTCCGTCAGCCTTCTGCCTTGCACGCTGCCTCCCTGACCTGTATTTTGTTCGTTCTTGGGCAATTTCTTGGCTAAAAAGAACAATTTTCACATAATATACTCTCTAGAAATTGCGTTGAAATTCGCGTACCTATTGCTAAGAAAATGTCGTTCACATTCATCGCAGTTTTAGCAGACGTTTCCATGAAAAGTAGCCCGTTCTCCTCCGCGTAAGTTTGAGCCTCCTCATACTCCACCATGCGTTTATTGGCTAGATCCTGCTTGTTGCCCGCTAGTGCAATTACAATGTTTGGACTGGCTTGGCGCTGCAGCTCTTTCACCCACGTTTTTGCTCTTCCGAACGTATCCTGGTTAGTAATATCGTAAACCACGATTGCTGCCTGGGCGCCTCTGTAATACATTGGAGCCAAACTATGGTACCTAAAAGAAACAAATGTATGTAAATTAAGTATGCTTGTTGTTGGTCTCCGGCTGGAATGTGTGCGTCCTCTTTTATCTTTCATTACATGCTTCAAGCAATTCTAATCAGATTTTAATCAGCAATATTGTTTTTTTTTTAAGTTTTTACCGTTCTTGGCCAGCAGTATCCCATATCTCAAACTTCACAGTGGTATCGTCGAGGCAAATCGTTTGAGTTAGGAAGGCCGCTCCAATGGTGCTTTCTTGGTACTCGTGAAACTGGCCCTTGACAAATCGCAACACTAAACTTGACTTTCCCACAGCACTCTCGCCGAGCAGCACCAACTTGAACTGGCATATTTTGCCCTGGCTTTGTCCATTGGGTCTTTGGGCTGTTCCCGATCGGTTGGCCATTATTCTAGATAAAAACTGCTCTATTAGTGATCAATATTTTCCTATTAATAACAAGTCATAAATGAACATTTTTGGAATGGTTGCCTTTAACCGCATGTTACCGAACGATGGGAAGAACGTCCGTCGCCTGAAAGCCGATGAAATTGAAGAAATATGGTTGGATAAAGTTGGGGCACAAATCAAGAAGCAAGGAAACTCCACGGCGAGAACAACCGGTGATTTACGGTTGTCGATGAGAATTTGGTCCTGACGTTTTGCTAGCATCTTCAGAGTTGTGTTCGTTTCGACCGACGCACCTCTGAAGATGCTGGCCATGCGTGCTAGCAAAACGTCAGGCCCAAATTCCTATCGACCACGGCCTAATCAACCAACAAAAACTGATTATTTAAACGTTGACCGATTGACTCACAAATATGTTCTTTACCGCAACGCTTCGGGTGGTAATTTTGCACGATGATATATGGAAAAACTGCAGGAGTTAGACCGGAAAACGAAAACATTTTCAATTTGAAAACCCTGTATCTCGAATGCAAATCGTTTGCAGACATGTTCATATAAGCTTTTTAGCGGTTATTATGTAACAATTTTGTGGGGTCTTCTCGAGTTGCAAAATATTATTGTTTCCAAAAACACAAGGTTGGGCCACGCTGAGTGCAGGGTCAGTCAAATAAACTAATATTAAAGCAACAATGTGCACAGTGTGTAAGCTTTCAAGAATTCAATTGCATTGATTCCGTTGATTTGCAGACCCCGGGGAAATTTGAGAATTAGCTTATGTTTTTTGTTTGGCTTCTAAACGAGTCAGATGCTACCATTTACGCCCCACGCTATCCGCACACTACTTTAAATGAGATGAGATCCAGATGGTTAAAAAAGCTCAAAAAGTCGAAAATTTGCAACGCAGCACTTGCCTTTAAGTGGAAATTAAGCATTAAATCGGTTGTATGACTAAACCTAAACCTAAAAACTACTTATCGTACGAAGTACTCTGTTATTACACCTAATTCTTAGCGTTTAAACCAACTGCCCCAGCCTAGATTGGTTTTAATTGAGGCGAAAGTCAATCCAGAGGTGCCTGAATAGGGCTCAAGTGAACCAAACAGATGCTGTCGTTTAGTAAAAAGTTGACTAGGTAAATTTGCAAAGCCGGAGGCTCGGTAAAATAACATTTAGCTGTGAAGAGAATTTGGCGCATTCTCTCAAACAGGTATCACATGCAAATTGAACAACAAGAGAAAGTTGTACTATTGCATCCGATCTGATTGTCCAATTATTGTCGTGAAAACTAATTAACCAATCTAGGGCTAGCGTTCGTCTAATTGCTGAGCAATGATTTGTTGCTAACAGACGTATAAAGAATTAGACACAATAAAAATACAGAGATAAAACACAAAGAGGGGGGCGGATTCTTGGGCTTCAAGGGCGTTACACTGGCCTGCTGTGGACAAGCAGAGGGGCTGAACTGCCCCTCTAGACTCACTGCGAGTTTTCCCCGGAAGGCAATTGATTTTTCCCCAACCAGTTCGGAGAGAATCAAATTTAAATTATCTTAAATAACATGAATGGGATTATGGATAATGACGCATTTGACAAGAAAACATAGTAGAAATCGACTAACCTTTTTCGTTAAAATGCAGCTTCTCACTGATCAATCACGTCCTCCCGATGTACGATCTGTATTTTGTCGACATAAAAGCTTATAGCCCGGATATGTTGTGCGAAATGGGGATCCACGAACGGCAATTAAAGGGAAAAAATGGAAAATTGGGATGACAGTTCACAAAACCGTAAACCAACTCGTCTCGAGGTTCTGTCCCACTTCGTGTCACGACTGTGGCCGAACAGGAAAACGTCAACGCAATTTCCAGCTCCGCCAACGCCACTAACATCCCTAGAAACTCTGGAGTATAATATTTTACTTGCTCTAAACTCGGATTATTCGGGAAATCACCCGCATCGGGGACTAACTGGGTTTACACAACCCATTGAAAGAACCAAATTTTTGTGTTATACATTATACAAACAAAATTAAGTGTTCAGCGCCTACAATAGTACGGAACGAAACTTCCCTATAGGAACAAAATAAAAATATAGAGCAAGGTTATGTGGAAGACAACAGAAAATCAACAAACCAAACAACAATAAACGATGAGCAAAGAAACAGCAGGCCTTGGCAAGTCAGTATGACAATGTTTACCTGTGACAATTTAATGTTTTAAAAATTATCGGTTTTCCGCAGTTTATTTGCTTTCTATCTATATCTATATATATCTATACAGTGTGTAAATATGTATTTCGAAAACGATTCGACGTGTCCTAGATCCAACAGCAAGTCGCAAGGGTGTCCCGTGCCTGTGGGCAACACCATTTGTGGAGAAACCAACTCTCTGGAGATAATGAAGCAGTTCAATCGCCTCTATGAGGAGCGAATGGAGCAGGTTGACTCAGAAGCAGGTGGAGACTGTCTACAGGTATAACTCAAAGGAGAAGTTATTAACCCTGCCCATAACTCTCTATCTCAGAACTGTTTAAAATATCTACAATAATCATTAGGAGCAGTTCGATAGGGCGTCTTAATAACTGTCTGTGTCTCAATAGGTTTATGATTTAAAAAATAATAAATCGCTCCCAATCTTGATATTGGCGGACTTAGAAAAGAATGAAGGTTTTTACCCTAATGCACCGCTGCTCTAGAAAACTCCTAACATCCAATTTAGAGCAAGTAGGAACTTGCCGCATTCATAATCTATAAAAGGGGCTTAAATCTACAAGTGCTGAAAATTTCATTCAAATCGAATCAAATCTCGAGTTGTGCGGACTTGGTAAAGATTGGCATAAAAATGAAGGTTTTTGTCCAACTGCACTCGCCGCTTTAAAAATTCCGCATTTCCCTCAAAAACTTTATAGACTTTATGTTGTTGCCGTAATATCGTTGTTCTAATTAGGAAAAAATCAAGCTTCAACAAGAATGGATCAGAAACTTGTGCCAGCAAAACGAAATGCTGGTAAGGGCTGTCCAAGAGCTGGAATTCGAGGCAACAGAACGAGTCCATCAGCTGGAAGATAAGCTTCAAAAGAGCGCCCAGTGTCTATGCGACGTGAGTAACTCGTTTTGTTTTACCATTAGTTAAGTGTGAAAATGTGTCCCATTGTCCGCCTTTTTATCATCTCGAGTGGTAAATCCATGTTTCCTAGTCCCAGATCCGAATAAGTAAGTGGATTCCACTTTATTTTTTATGACAACGTTCATCAGCATGAATTTTTGCACTTTAGGTGATGAAAAAGTATCGGGAACACGACTTTGCCGCCGATTTACTAGCTGAACCTTTGCAGAAAATCACCCATTTAGAGGATGATGTTAGGAATCTGCTGGAGTTCATCAAGCGAATTCGGGAGAATCAGGACTGGAGTCTTGATGGTTTGTTTTTTTATAACATTTCAGAGCGGGAACTGTTGGGGACAACCTGCAAATTTGCCAACAAGTAAGTGCCAACGTTGTTGTTGAAACCATTCTTTCAAGCACCTTTGTCCAGAATTAGCCACTAAGCTTCGATTTTTTTCCAGATTTTCTAAAGATGATTCTCTCGAGGTGCGTAGAACTGCACGAATGCTTTTTAACCAGAAAAACACCCCTTGTGGCTGTTCATTCCCATGTGCCAATCCACGACGCTCCCAAGCTCGATCTCTATCTCCCCCTTGCCCAAAACGACTAACCTTCAGCTTGTAATCCCCAAATACTAACCCATTGATCCCAAAATCCTTTGGTGTTGTCATTTCGATTTTTCGTTTAGTTTTTAAGTTTTCAATGGTATCTTTTGTATAGTTGACTGTATAAATATTTTTGTTTTCAGGGCGAAAAATTGCTTAATGAAAAGGATAGGTAAGTGCCCGTTTGGGATAGATTGAGGCCTCAAAGTGACCGCTGAAACTTTTCAGGACTGTGCATGAGCTGACTCAGAAGTTGGACTATTTCAACAGCTTCGGCGATGTGGAGGCCATAGCCAAAGAACTACAAGCAAGGCGGGAGGAGTGCGACTCTTTGAAACAGGTAAGAAACCAAGAGACTTAATTATAGCACGGTTTTATCGATTTTTAAACATGAGTGTGTGGCGAAGTGTTTGCAAAAAAACTACCCCTGTTTGTTAAGTTCTTTGCATAGTGCAACAGAGTGAATTAACACCCACTGCGGAGGTAACTTGCACGTTCCCTTACTTGCCATTAACCTAAAGTCCTTCTTATTTCTAGGAGATGGCGGAAATACGGCAGGCGCTTACTGAGGAAGTGGCCACCAAGTACGACGAAATCGTGCTTCTGCGGAAGGACGTCCAAATCTTCGAGGAGCGATGCATGCAGGCCGATAAGCAAACCGCCTTCAAGGAAGACATCATCAGGGAGCTGAGGAAGGAGATCAAGCAACTGAAGCAACAGGTAACGGCAACTGCTTTTGGAGCTTCGAACACTAAAGGGGCTTTATAGGTGTCCATTCCCGAAAAACCCTTGAAACCATCCGCAAGCCCCAGCCACAAACATTCCCAGACCTCCCCATCCCACCTGGAAGTCCCCAATGATTCAACCAAGCCATACATCATAGTGAACCACAGCTCGAAAAAACAGCCCGGAAAAAACACAGTGATTTACATAAACAAGGACGGTAGCGTGCGTAAAGAGGATCGTTCCTTAGCGCTGAAAGACCACTCGGAAGCGTGCTCGAAGTGCAAGAGCAAACTGAGTAATAACGGCAGGTCGTTTTTTCCGAATTGCAAAAGCGAAACTGACTTGGTCAATGTTAAAAGCAAACTGAGGCCGGTTCAGGCGCGGTCTAAACTGACCAATTTTGGCAGATGCAAAACATTCGTGGACCAAACGAAGCGCATTCTGAATGAAATAGAGTTCGAAGAACTGTTCTACAAAGGAAAGGTCCAGCCTGGGCCCATCCCTGTGAAGATGCACGTCAATTACTTAGAGCGCAATAGGTTTTAGACTAGTTTATGTATGCACTTAGTTAATTAAAGCTACAGAGCAGCTGAGCGGATGTTTTAGTGCTCGCAATCGAACAAACAAAGCGAAAGCTTCTAGTCTATGGCCTTTCAGGTAACTGAAAAATTCCTGAGCTTAGTCGCCGAGCAGTTGACGGCCTACTTTCGTACTCATTCCGCAAGTTCCTTCTTCGGTACCTCGCCCACAAATAAAGCCGATCAAGCAGCTGAGTTAGGGAGATTTGTCCAGGTAAAGGAGGACTTGCTTAAAGAACAATTGCGCTTAATTACTTTGCTAGTCACCAAGCTCTATCACGTGGATCAAGGCCTGGAAGTGCTGGAAAAGAGGGCGTTGTCTGTAGTAACAGCAATCTGAACCTGGTTGAAGCCTTCGCATTAATTCGGCAAGTTTTTCAGACCAAACTGAAGCGCTACACGATGGTAACAGAGCGGGAAATCAGGCAGTTTCAACAGTCCCTAAACCAAGTCAAGTCGCTGCTTGAAAATACCTTAGACCAATAAACTGTTGCTTCCTCAACGCGTTTTATCTACTCTGAATTTGCGCGCATTCTTAACTCATTCAAGATTAAACAAGAATTTTTATTAACACCCCACTGAATTAATATGAACAATTTCCAGACAACGTGCCAAGCGGATCGCGAACGAGGCTCTGTACAATGTAAGGTAAAACGCCGTGCGGGATGGCTGAAATAGTTTCACGTGTTGGCGGCATTTGCAGGTCCAGAAGCTGGAAGCAGAAAACGCTGCTCTAAGAGAAACTTTAACGGTGGATAAAACGCACATTGAGCAGCTGGACGCGCAGTTTAAGAGCTTTGTAAGGTGCCTCAACTGGCTGAGATCTTCACTGATTTTTCAACTTTAGCTGGAGGAAAGAGAAGGGCTGAAGGCCCGAAACAAAGATTTGGACCGACGGTCCAAAGGAGTGGCCAAGGAACGGGAGGCCTTGCGTTGCCAATGCGAAGATCTGCAAACGGAAATGCGGCATGTGAAAAATCAGAATGTAGGAGAGTTGTATGTATGATTTTACTCCAGATTGTTGATGGATTTGAACCGATCTAGGCCCAGTTGGAACTGGAAGTGCAATCAACTAAAGGCCGCTTAGCAAATGTTACTGCTGAATCGGTAAAACCAGTCGATTGAGGCTTTTCTTGCAACACTATCCAAATCTTCCTAGGTATCTTACCAGAAGAAACTCGCGGCAATTGTGGAAGAAAACCGGAAAACGCTCGAGCAATTAACCGCGTTAAACCAGGAGGTTTACACGTTCCGTATACTCCAAGTAGTTTAATAATCGCGCCTTTATTTACAGAACGCAAATTTATCTCGGGATATCGATGTGCTAAGGCACAGAAGCGAATACACCACCAATGTAAGTCCTTTCTCGACTGTTTCACCATTCCACTTTCTGCCTGCAACGCTTCCCAATTCTGTATTTATTTTTCCAGTTCACTCAAGAGGAAATCGGAAAGTTAAACTGCACAATTGAGGAACTGAAAACCAATCTGGAAGAGTGCCAACTGGCGCAGATAGACGAAGAAAAGGTACCGTATAAAAGAATTAAGTTTGCCACGTTTTCCAACTCCACTCACTTATTCGCAGGCCTACCGGAAGGAGATTGCTTTGCTGCATGAGACCATCAGCAGCATGGAAGCGGAATTGAGGGACATGGAAAGCAAGCTTGGAAAAGAGGGAAAGGTGCGTTCAAACTATCAAAGTGCTTTATGGGCTGACGCCGCTGATTGTTTCAGACTTGCAAAATATGCAGAGGAAAATCAAAAGTGGGCTTTTTGGAATCTACTGAAGTGAGTATTGGGGCCGAGAGGGAAATTTAAAAGGCCGCAAAAGGTTGGAAATAGCTCGGCAGCCGTTATAAGTTTCTCCAACTATTTCTTCCTGATCTAGTTATATCAAAAATCCAAACTTTTAAAGGGATAGAAGAAGCAAAAAGTGAAAAGAAAGATGCGCGTGTTCATTTGCCTGAAGGCAGCGCCTAAAAATAGCTCGGCCTTACGGTTTCGGCTATTTTAAAACAAACTAATGAGCGGAACGGGAGTGCCGATAAACCGTGCATCTTCACATGTTTCTGTTTTTCTGCAGGTGCAAGCGAGCTTCGACGATCAAGAGCTGGGGTTGATGCAGGTAAACACTTAAACAGTGGACAAAGTCTGAAAAATTCCCGAAAATTTCAACATTTCAGGAAGCAAATGCCACCAGACTAAGAATGCAATCGGAAATAGAGCGAAAAAGCCATGAAATCCAGACGCTAAGGGGCAAAGTGGAGCAATTGGAATCCAGTTTGCGGACGTGCGAAGAACGCGCCTCCAATCTGCAAGAAGCTGTAAGTGTTCTCCATTCGCTCAATCCAGCCTTTGCTTGTGCAGTTGCTTAATTTTTCAACCGCTCATTCAGGTAGCTTTATACTCGAACTCCGTAAGTGTTTTGGAGACGACAGGCGAGGAATCAAAGCTACAAGTAAGTAAGACGGTTTTCACATTTTGAGCAACTTGTCTAATTTGATCGAGAAGATTCAGCAGCAAAAGGTGACGATCTCCAACCTGCAACAGGCTCTAGTTGAGGCCAAACAAGAAGCGGATGAAATGAGGAAAAAGACTCAGGATAATGTGAGTTGGTCTGCATGGTTTGGGCTTGGTTCTGCCCCTGAAGTGGCCAATAACAACAACCCAAGTAAACCCCCAGTGTTAAGTAACAAACCAGTGCATGATGTGTAGAGTTCTAGATGGATGTTGACAAGGGGCACATTTATGTTATCTACTCTTTAAGTATTATCCTGCCATTTAGCCGTCTTATTTATTTATTTTCGCAATATTTACCTCCTTTTAATCTAAGTGTAAAACTACTAATATCTGTTAATGTTGCTACTTAATTTACCGTTAGTAGAAATATAGTGTAGTTGGTCATTTAGGGGCTTTATTTTATCCCTGCATAACCAACCGCGCCCTTTCAGGAGACGAAAAGGCAGGAAATAGTTGCCCTGTTGAAGAGCGTGATGGCGGAGAGTGAAGAAGACAGTGACTTGCTCAGGATGCAGGTGCGGTTTTGCAAAACACTTGGCTTAATTCCCGGATAATTTCACTTAGAATTTCAGGCCCAAATGGTTGAAAGGGAGTACGAAATCCTGCAGGACCTCAACTTTACGCTGGAAGTGGAACATTGCGACAGTTTGCAGGACATGGAGGCCTTGGAGGGCCAGCTGAAAAAGTACCAATATCTATTTAACATCAAAGAGGTATCAGCATATGCTTGTTTTTGTGCATGCTTGTTTTTTGCAGTCTAAACCGTCTTACTGGTTCCAATTACCATGAACTGGTGTTTTGTGGCTTCAGATGGTCTGATTTTTTTTTCAAGGAGCAAATGCGGAAACTTTCCAAGCAAAAGCGGTGTTATGAGGAAGTCGTTGCGTATTTCAAGCATGAAATGGGGTTGATGGCAGACCAATTAAATAATCTTCAGGAACTGCTGGTAAGTTGCCTAATGTAAAACACTGGTGCAGGACGCGCGTTACTTTACATCAGCTTCTACTGAAGGCTTGATGCTTCAAACGACCGTGCGTTTTCGCTCCTACTGTGCTTATTAATTGTGTGTTGACCGGTTAAATGGGCGTCGAAGGTAAGTAAAGACTTCCTTAGTAGTATTAGACTGTCTCTTGACACCAAACTAACGTACGAATGAAATTCTCTATTGTTCCAGACGTTGTCCAATGAAACCGCCCAGGAGGAATCCAGCAAGGTGATGAACGCCTTCTTCGAAGTCCAATCCATCAACGAGAAACTCTCCAGCCAATTATGTGCCTGCGAGCAGCAGGTGCAGCTGGAGAATCAAATGGGTCAGCTGCAGGAGGCGAAAATCTGCCAGCTGCAGCAGCTGGTCAAGGAGAAGGAACTGGACCTGAGCAAGCACGATCAGGCCATTGTGAACATCCGCCAGACCTTAAACGACTCTTTGAAACAGAATGCTGATCTCCAGCTGACCGTAGCAGAGCTGAATGAGACGATCGGAAGCCTACAGGGCTCGATCAGGCAGTATGAAGAGGAAAACTGCGCCAGCAGAAGAAGCTGCCTGGAGTTCCAGCAGCAAATCGGCGGCTACTGCAGCAAACTGGATGAGCTGAAGGAGGGCTTAGAGCAGAAAACTGCAGAGTGTCTCAAACTGGAAATGGCCTACAATAACGAGAAGCGCGCCCTAAAAGCCGCTCAGAAGCAGCTGCAGGAAACCGACAAGATGCAGCAAATCAAGCAGAAGGAGCTGATAAATTCGCTGCAGGAGGCCAAGATGCAATTGGCCTGCAGTGATGAGAATAACAGCAAGTTGTGTGAAGAGTGCGACAAGCTGCAAGCCCAGCTCACCAACCTGAGCCGCAAGGAGGCTGTGAAGGATCAGGAAATTAAGAGATACCGGAAAATAGTTGGCGATCTGAAAGCAACGGTAATTCGTTTTTTTAATGAGGCTCGTGTTATTTATTAAAAATTTTGCAGATGATGGAGCTCAATACCGAGCTGAACAAGAACTTGGCCCAAAAAGAGCTGAAAGCGAGCTGCAAGAACGTCAATTGCCGCCGGAACCTAGACAAGGATGACCTGAAGGACATATGCGTTACTTGCCCTTGTGAGGTGGAGTTTTACCAGAAAATGGTCGACATTTTGAAGAAATCCGTAAGTTTTTTTGTTGTCGTTTTCCGGTTAAAACCCCAACGGAGTTCTACTAGGTGAGCGATCTGAAGAAGCAGCTCAACGACGCACAGCAAAAGTGCAAAGCTTTGCAAGACGAGGTGAAGGAAAAGGAGCTGCAACTGAACCGCACTAAGGAAGACTTGAAGAACCAGCAACTCGACAGCGGCAAGAAAATCACTTCCCTGCAGCAAGAGATCGATCGATTAACTCAGGAGCTGCAGCTCAAATCCTTGCAGTTAACCGACGTGAAGAAGAGCGCCAATGAAATCAACGGCTCCAAGTGCGTGCAGCTGGCCTGCGCTCAAGAAGAAATCGCCCACCTGAAGAACGAGATCGCCAGCATCCTCAGCGGGCAGAACGCCCTAAACCGCGAAGTAAGCAGGCCTTTGAAAATAAACCAATTTCTAATGCTGCAGCTTTCCAGAATGAAGATCTGCTTGCCGAAGCCGCTCAACTTCACTGCACAATCAACTGCTTGAAGGACAAAAGCAAGCTGTTCAAAGACCAGGCCGACCAATACGCCCTGAGGCTCAAGAGCCTGAGCGCCGAGAAAGATACGTTGCTCAGAAAAAACAAGGAGCTGCTCAGCGAGCTGAAGGCCATTCAGTCCATGACTTGTTCAGTGGACAAGCATCACAGGTGAGGGTTTTTGCGATTGCAAGTGCGTATCTACATGGTGTCTTACAAGGTTAAGCAGCGAGACAGTGAAACAGTTGGAAGCTGATATAGAAGAGCTGAAAAACAACAAGGACGACATTTGCTCAGAGAGTAAAAGTGTGATTAAAAACGTCCGCGCTTGGGTTCTAGAGCAGAAGAGGATTAATGCATTTGTAGCTCAGAGGGAGCGCGAGTATATTGAAACGATTAACAGGTTGAATAGTGTAAAGTACGTGTTGTTGTGAGGGGTTCGTTCAGTTGCATGGATTGACTATAATATGTTTTACTCAATGAAAAAGTGCAAGTTTATGTTTTTAGGTTTTGAACTACATATCGATATAACAAAGAGTTTTGGAGTGATAAAACTAATTTGTTTGTCAAACGAATTGGTGTGAATTGAACAGGATAACTCAATATTGTTTCATTCCCAGGCAAATGTCCAGCCCCAAGCCTATCTCAGCTCCTAATAGGGGTTGTAGGGCTAACAGAGGCTCAGTTTACAACCCCATGTGCGCCTCACCGTGTAGTCTGGGTTCGCAAGGCACCACCTCGATATACGACAGAGAAAGTCCTCCAGCCAGCCCAGACTTTGGCGTGGGCAACGAATGGTACTCTACAACGTTTCGGGTAACTGAAGGTTTCCTGTTAAGTTAGAGCGGCTTTGGTACGTTTTTCTTTCTCAGGCTGAGTCCGATAATGATTCCGGAGAGGATTATTGCGTGAACACTTTGGAGCATTTGACTCAGCAAATGAGGAACTCGAACAAGGTCTGGATGAGCGAGAAGCGCTCGCTGAGGGACTGCCGGGTCTCCAAAGACGCCAAAGAGAGGAAATGACTTAGTTTGTATTTATTATATTTATTTTTATTGAAGTGTTTAATTAAGGGTTTAATTGTCTACTTGTCTGGCTAGTCAATATAAATTTGTAGATTTAGTTGATGGGATTTTACTTTTCTTGAAAAACCCCAGTGTGAACTAATGGCCAACACAAGACTGGAGCAGTTTTGGAGTATTTAAAAATTGGTGCCAATTTTTTTTGATCAGCAACAATTTGGAGCTTTGCGGCATAGAGAAGGTAAAATATATTTTTTTATTTTACTTCCTCTAAGCTTTGAGGCTTTTGCTCAAATCTCCCGCAATTTAAATTCAAACTGGACGATGTTGCCAACATAAGAATCAAATTCAGTTAACTTCTTGTTGTCATGACCATAACAAACCTTTCATCTAACCTGACAAATTTGCAATGTTTACGTTTTTCCTTATATCGCAATAAAAATGAATTTATCGTGCCTGAGTACAATCGACTGCACTCAGGGCGCAGTGCGAGCGGTCAGGTTCAATGGTAAGTGGCCCCCTTTGCTTTTGGGGCTTCGCCACAGTGTTTGAAACGTTTCAGTGGACGGAACCTACTGCCTTACCTGCGGGGCCGACAAGAAGATCAAGCTGTGGAACCCATACCGGCACCTAATGCTCAAAACCTATGGGGGACATGCGGGCGAAGTCCTAGATGTGTGCGCTTCATGCGACAGCAGCCAAATCGTGTCCTGCTCTGCAGATAAATCAGTGATAGGTAAACAATCGCTTAGTTGGCGGCTTTGAATTAGAGCCTAATTTGCCCGTTTGGTAGTCTGGGATGTTTCCACTGGACAGCCTTTGAAACGCTACAGAGGGCATGCAGCAGGAGCCACTTGCCTGGCGCTAAACGAGGACTCAACAATAGCGATATCTGGAAGTCTGGATAATACCTTGATGTGTTGGGACTTGCGGGCTAGAGGGGACTCGGCGTGCCAGACTTTGAGGGAAGCCAAGGATTGCATCTCAACAGTGCGCATCAGTGATGTGGAAATACTTTCCGGCTCAGTGGATGGCTGCGCCAGGCGCTACGATCTGAGAAACGGCAAATGCGATGAGGACTTTGTTGGAGGCACGTATAGACTCTGATTTAGAGCGTGGGTTTGATCATAGCTTTTCCTGTAGCCTCAATCACATCAGCAACATTTACTCGGGATGGTCAGTGCCTTTTAATCGGAGCAGCCGACAATAAACTGAGGTTGTTGGACAAGAACACTGGCGAGCTTCTTTTAGAGTGAGTAGGTTTTTTCAATAGTGGAACACTGAAGCTATTAAGGCCTGAAAACACTAGTTCTGACGGAAGTTCCTTTTTGTTGCAGATACACTGGGCACAAAATCGATAGTTTTACCATAGAAAGTGAAGTGATCACTAACGATAACTATATCTTATCCGGATCAGTGGACGGAAATGTTTGGTGTTGGGACCTGGTTTCCGGTGAGGTGAAGTACAAGTATACTCACGAGAGGAACAAAGTCGTTCAGTCGATTAGCGTGCATCCGAAAAAGGACGCGTTCCTTTCCGCATCTACGAACACCATCAAGCTGTGGGGCGACGCCAGTGAGATTCCGCAGGAAGAGCAGTCGGGGGACTAGAATTATTGTCTCGCTTGTAAGTGGTTGGACTAATGATATAAATAATATATTTTTCAATGGTGTGTATAACAATCTAAGAGTTAAAGGTTTGAGCACTAGGTACTTTGAGCAAGTTGTCCACGTAATTACTCTCACTATTTGTGTCTGTTGGAGTTGGCGAGCGAAGTCAGAGCCTCGGCCGCATCCAGTTCCTCCTTTCCATGAACTAACATCAAATCAGTCTCCACTTTGGCCGGCTTTTTCTTCTGCGGTTTATTAAACGACCAGTCGATGTAGTTGCCTTCATTAGGCCGAAACCGCTCGGCGCTTTGCAGCCACTTTGCGATCATCGCCGGCTTGTCTGCTTCCACCACTCCAGAGCTCTGGCAGTCCCGCATGTATTTTTCCATTATGTGATTCTTGTATTTATTGGCTGATTGGGAGAACGGATTGTCCTGATCCAGCTCCGTGGTTGAGCTGACAAAGTAGCACTGATCGCTGAGAAATTTTCAATTGTTAATGTTTTATTTCACTCAAGAAACATGATTGCACCTTTTGTTGTTGTTGTTGTTGTTGTTGCATAACTGACCGTAGCTGTGGTCTAATTGGCCTTTAGCATAGTGTTCTTCGAACCTTTGAAGTTCTATGTTGGTGTAAGCGCCTTCCGGTTCCTCCCAAATGCTGTCTTCTGAGCAGATGCTGAAATGCTCCACGTTCCCTTGCACCTGACTGTTGTAGGTCTTAATCAGGTCGCCCCAGGTTCTTCTTTGAGGCTCTTTGCCGGCGTTTTTTAACTTGCGCCGCCAATTCGCGAACCAATTGCAAACCTTCAGGAAAGGTTTTAGTGCGGGTTTTTTCTCCTCACACAAACTTACCTGGATGTAGGTCAACCCCGTTTGTACTGCCAGCACTTTCTTTTCGTCTCTATTCGGGTAGGGATTGTCTCTTCGTCTGATCAGCCAGTCTTTGAGGAAGCGCTTGATTTCGGGAGTAAACAGCCGCTTCGGCGGGCGTCTCTCTTCCCCATAGACTCTTCTTAGATAAGATTAAGCCGAGTTATTGCCCGTTTGCGCCCTGATTAATTAGTGTTAGGCTTATGAAGCAGTTCATGCAATTTGAGCGTTAGAGTACATAGTGGAAAAATGTCACTCAGTTGCGGTTCAGCAAGGCAACAAAATAGGACAGATATTGAAGTCCGAGCACACGCGGATTTTTCATAATGTGCTAAGCAGGCGAAGTTATGAGTTTGAAACGAGTAGGTTTGCGTTACAGGGTGGCCCAAACTTCAGGGTTTGGGGATAGAAAAACAGGTCGAGAATGTAGCTGCAACTGTTGGTAAAATATGTGCGAAAGTTCAACGGGTTTATCTCAAATAGTTCCTCAAGAACAGGGGCGGATCCAGCTTTAAATTCAGGGGGGGGGGTTAAAAATACAGTCTTCTGTTGTCTATCAAATTAGAAAAATTATCGTCGTTTCGTGCAAGGGTGGCGTAAGATTATTGCAAAATTTCATGTTTTCCGTCCCATTTTTGCTCATTTCTCGGAGGCAAAATGAGCAAGAACGCTCATTTGTACATCATTCTAGACAGAAATAAAT